GCGATGCTTCCCGTTCCCTCCAGGTACCTCCTCACACTGTCCAGTTGTGCTATGTCTTGGGCTGTCTCTTTTCCTTTCTGGAGTTTTTCTATGGTTTCCTCTGTAATTATTTTTGCACTGAGCAGTTCTGACGCTGTAATTTGCTGTCGGATTCCCTGGAACCAGACATCGCTTCTGTCCTCTTCCTTTTCTCTAATGATCTTCAGTATCGTCTCAATGATTCCTTGCACAATGTGCTGGGACTCCAGCTTGTATTTTTTCACCAGTTCTTTTCTTTTCTCCTCCGTGATGTACTCGGAGCAGAGCAGTTCCCACAGGGATAACACCTGTCCCTTGTATTTTCCCACAGGCACCTGGACCTTTGTGCACAGCAGGGCGTTTTTTGTTTGCTCGTCGATGTAGAAATAGTCGCCGTCCTTCTCCAGGACCTGCAGCAGGTACAAGCCGCTCTCCGTGTCCTTGGCACACCTCTGCAGGAGCTGCCTGTAGCTGATCTTCTCGTGGGTGTTGGGATCTACAAAGCCTTTGCTGCCGTGGTCTGGGTCCGAGAGCAGCAGGAAGGTGTCGTCGTCCAGGTGCCCACGCTTGTAGGCCACCTCCACGGGCAGGCGGTGGCCGTGCTCGGGGTCGATGATGCCGCCGGTGGCGAGCTGGGCCTCGAGCAGGCGGATGCCCTTGTCCCTGGCTATGATCTTCTGCCTCACAGCCTGGAAGAGAGATATTTTATTTCCTGTTTGGGGGTCTGTGTATCCCGTCACGGCTTTCTCTGCCAACAGCAGCGGCTCGCGCAGCTCGCTGCCCACCAGCCCGGACGCGACGGCCTCGTCCACCGAGAGCTTCTGGTGGTTCCGGGGGTCCAGGAGGAAGCCGGTGGCCGCCTGTGCCTCCAGCAGCCCCAGAGCACACTGCTCTGTGAGGAGCCCTTTCCTCAGCGCCTGGTAGATGCTCATCAGCTCTTTCCTCAGCGGGAGGAGAACCCCGGCGATGCACCCAGTGCCGTCCAGGTACCTTTGGATGGTTTCCCTCTTCGTGAGGCTGGCAAGTGTGAGAGTCCCATCTTGCAGCTGGTCCAGAGTTTTCTTGTCAATTATCTCAGAGTTGAAGAGTTCTGACACCGACACGTCCCCCCGCAGCCCTTTGACCTTGAGGGCTTCTCCTCTTCGCTCGGCGTCCTCGATGATTTGTAAGATGAGCGATATCAGGTCTTCCAGCTTTAGGGTTTTGCTTTTGTACTGCATCACCAGCTCTTTCCTTTTCTGCTCTGAGATGTAGTGAGAGCAGAGCACTTCCCAGACAGAAACCGTTTGGTCCTTAAACTTCCCCACTCTCACCTGGAGGGGCTTTGAGCGCAGAGCCTGCTTGGTGGACTCATCGATGTAGAAGTACTTCCCTCCCTCCTTTACCACTTGCAGCATGTACAACCCCGTCTCTGGGTCTTG